AGTTGGAGCCTCCAAGTGCTCTTCAAGGGGAGCCCCATGTAGAGAGCATTACAGTAGTCGTGAGTGACTGTGCGCAGGGCATCCTGGTCCAGAAAGGGACGCAACTGATGAATCAGGTAAACCTGATAAAAAGTCCCCCTGGCCACAGCCGTCATGTGATCTTCTAAAGACAGCCGTGCATCCAGGAGGACACCCAAATTGCAAGCCCTCTCTGGGGGGGGGCTAGGGTCTCACCCCCAATAGCCATCGATGGAACCAGTTGGCTATATCGTGACGCCAGGAGCCATAGCCACTCAGTCTTGGAGGGGTTGAGTCTGAGTCTATTTCTCCCCATCCAGATCCGCATGGCCTCCAGGCATCGGGACATCACGACAAGGGCATCATTGGGGTGGTCCAGGGTGGAGCAACAATGGAACTTCATTCCATTGTAGACTGGATCTCATTGGTGCCTTAAAGCACTAATTAAAGGCTGGGATCCAGTTTTCAACAGGTTCAGAAGTGGAATGGGAAAACTACTGGAACTGCCTTCTTTCCTTAAATCCTTTCTTCCTCCCTCCTTCTATTCTCTCTCAACAAATACATTGATAAAATCATGACATTAAAAAAATGGTATTAAGCTGTTCTAGACATCTACATACAATCATTCACACCAACAATTTTACCCAAACAATGCTTTTTGATTAAAGGGAAATCCGATTCTTGCTCTTTTTCAGATGCAGACAAATGTACTAAATGTCCAGAAGATCAACATCCAAACACCAATCGAGTTCGCTGTATTCCTAAAATGAAAAGCTATCTTTCGTATAAGGAAAATCTGGGGATCATCCTGACTGCCATTGCCTTGTTCCTCTCTTTAATCACAGGCTTTGGTTTGGGGATCTTCATTAAATTCATGGAAACTCCCATTGTCAAAGCCAACAACCGGGGCCTCTCCTACATTCTCCTGGTCTCCCTCCTGCTTTCCATCTTGACCTCCTTCCTATTCATTGGCCAGCCAAGGAAAATAACCTGCCTCCTCCGACAAACAGCCTTCAGCATTATATTCTCACTTGCCATTTCTTCAATCTTGGCCAAAACAATCACAGTGGTGTTAGCCTTCTTGGCCACAAAACCAGGGAATAAAGTGCAGAAATGGTTGGGAAAGAGCTTGGCCAACTCCATTGTTCTTTCTTGTTCTGGCTTCCAAGTTGTCATCTGCAGCATCTGGTTGGGAACCTTTCCACCGTTCCCTGACTCTGACATGGACTTCCAACCTAGAGAGATCATCCTACAATGTAATGAAGGTTCTGTCACCATGTTTTATATTGCCCTTGGGTACATGGGCTTCCTGTCTGCTGTCTGCTTCATGGTGGCTTTTCTGGCTAGGAATCTCCCTGGGGCCTTCAACGAAGCCAAGCTGATCTCCTTCAGCATGCTGGTCTTCTGCAGTGTCTGGGTCTCCTTTGTGCCGGCCTACCTGAGCACCAAGGGGAAATACATGGTGGCTGTTCAGGTCTTCTCCATCTTGGCCTCCAGTGCTGGCTTGCTGGGCTGCATCTTCAGCCCCAAGTGCTACATTATCATTTTTAGGCCAGATCTGAATACCAAAGAACATCTGATGTCAAAATAAAGTAGAAAAATAACTTTTGCAAATTGATTGTTTTCAGAAATGTCATTTCAAGAGCCTCCAACCCAATCCTACCTGGACAGCCTAAGGTGTGGTTAGAAATCTCTCTTCTAAGGGAGGGGTGCTCCCTCACACGTTGAGCATTTCTGACCTCACAGTCAGCATTGCCAGTACAGAGGAGGAGGAGGAGGAGGAGGAGGAAGAGGAGGAGGAGGAGGAGGATTTTATTTATTTAATTTAATTTAATTTAATTTAATTTAATTTAATTTAATTTAATTTAATTTAATTTAATTTAATTTAATTTAATTTAATTTAATTTAATTTAATTTAATTTAATTTAATTTAATTTAATTTAATTTAATTTAATTTAATTTAATTTAATTTAATTTAATTTAATTTAATTTAATTTAATTTAATTTAATTTCTATACCGCCCTTCTCCCGAAGGACTCAGGGCAGTGCACAGCCAACACTAAAGCAAATACAAATACAAAATTTAAAAACATATTAAACAATTGGCCTTAATCATTAAGAATAAAACTCAGTTAAAAATCATGTCTAGGACAGACCAGCTTGTTGGAATAATAGCGTCTTGAGGGCACGGTGAAAGGTGCGTAGGTCAGGGATCCTCTGTATCTCTGGGGGCAATTCGTTCCAGAGGGCAGGTGCCCCCACAGAGAAGGCTCTCCCCCTGGGGGCCGCCAGTCGACACTGTTTGACCGACAGCACCCAGAGGAGTCCCTCTCTGTGGGAGTGTATTGGCTGGTGGGAGGCTATCGGCATCAGAAGGCGGTCTCATAAGTACCCGGGTCCTAAGCCATGGAGTGCTTTAAAGATGGTCACCAGCACCTTGAATCGCACCCGGAAGACCACCAGGAGCCAGTGCAGCTCGCGCAGGAAGGGTGTTACATGCGTGCACCAAATCGCTCCCATAATCGCCCGCACGGCCACATTCTGGACCAGTTGGAGCCTCCGAGTGCTCTTCAAGGGGAGCCCCATGTAGAGAGCATTACAGTAGTCCAGATGGGAACTGATGAGGGCATGAGTGACCGTGCGCAAGGAGTTCTGGTCCAGAAAGGGACGCAACTGGTGAATCAGGCAAACCTGATGAAACCATCCCCTGGCCACAGCCATCACATGCTCTTGTAGGAGATCATCCTACAATGTAATAAAGGAATGTTTTATATTGCCCTTGGGTACATGGGCTTCCTATCTGCTGTCTGCTTCATGGTGGCTTTTCTGGCTAGGAATCTCCCTGGGGCCTTCAACAAAGCCAAGCTGATCTCCTTCAGCATGCTGGTCTTCTGCAGCATCTGGGTGTCCTTTGTGCCCGCCTACCTGAGCACCAAGGGGAAATACATGGTGGCTGTTCAGGTCTTCTCCATCTTGGCCTCCAGTGCTGGGTTGCTGGGCTGCATCTTCAGCCCCAAGTGTTACATTATCATTTTAGGCCAGATCTGAATACCAAAGAACATCTGATGTCAAAATAAAGTAGGGCATGGTAACAAGGTCAGCCAATGTATAGGCATAGCAGCCAATGAGGGCTGTTTGGAGACTGGGCGTGGCTTAGGTTAATTGACATGTATAAATATAAGTTATGTGCTCCTATTGTTGTCCTTCCTTCTGTTAACTGTGCTTCTGTGATTATGCGTCTGATTCTGAGAACTGCTCTTGGTATTGTATATATGTCTCATGTGTTAGGCAGCCAGCGGATGTTTCTTAAGCTTCAGTTTGGCTTTGTGTGTTTCTGGGAAAGGCTCCTGTCTGTGGGGGAAGCCATGCAAGGTTTTTGTCTTCAAAGTGGGATCCGGCATTGCTTGGGAGGAAAAGGCAAGGGGGGTCTCTTGTGGCCCCTGCAGACCCTCTGTCCAGGCTCTCCTGGGCAGCCACTGTTCCCACTTGCCCACTGGAGGAGAATCTCTTCAGGGCAGCCATTTCTACGTGGGAGGAGAACCCTTCCCACGTGGCGGGAGCTTCCCCTCCCTCTGCATTTCTGTCTCATTTTGTCTCTTTCTCGCCCCAAAAATTATTTTTGATTTTATCTTTATTTGATTCACCTCCCCCCACCCCATTGTCTTTGTTTATTCAATCTCTTCTCCATGAGGCTGATTGGTGGCTGAGCTCCTAGGCAACCATTGTCTCTGCCTTCCTGTTTGATTGGCTGCTGGTTCTGTCTCTCTCTCTCTCTCTCCCCCCTAGTGGCTGCCTCTATTCCTGGCCTGCCTTCTGTGTTCCCTCAGAACTGGAGGAGTTGAAGGGGAAATCTCTTTTAGGAAAGAAACTATGATCAGATGCAGCAGGGTGGAGGGAGGGGAATGAAAGAATATTTAACCTCAGGAAGCTTGCCGGAAAGATTAACTGATTTATTGTTTACCTGTAATGATGTAGGTTCCTATGAGGATTCTGTGTACTACACACGAAACCATTAGGGTCCTAGGGCTTCCACCAAATTCAAAAATGATTAAAATATAGCTTGTATTTTAGAAAATTATATTCTATTCTAATCTTGTGCTGGTGGTATCAGTTGTTGCCCCAAAAATATTTTTTTTGAAAAGTGAAAGGATGGAATATTAATGAAATATTGCTTTTTTTGTTTTTTCAGTGGCAAAAAAGTGCACCAAATGTCCAGATGATGAATATCTAAATGAGGTGTGAGTCCAATGTATCCCCAAAGTTATAACTTTCTTGTCCTATGAAGAACATCATCCTGGTCTCTTTTTCCCTACTTTTATTCCTAACTGCAGTCCTTGTTTTAATCATATTCATCAAATACCAAGAAACTCCCATTGTGAAAACCAGGACCTCTCTTACATACTTCAGGTCTCCCTCCTGCTTTGTTTCTTGTCTCCTTTTTTCTTCATTGGTCAACCAAGGAATGCCTCCTGCCTTCTCCGACAAACAGTTTTCAGCATCATCTTCTCAGTTGCCATTTCTTCTCTCTTGGCCAAAACAATTATGCTGGTGTTGGCTATCCTGGCCACAAAACCAGAAAATCAAGTGAAGAGATGGTTGGGGAAAAGCTTGGCCAACTCCATCATATTTTCTTGTTTATAATCCAAATTATCATCTGTTCCATCTGGCTGGGAGTTTCTCCTCCATTCCCTGACTCTGACCTCCACTCCCAGCATGGATCAAAGATCTTGCAATGCAATGAAGGATCCATTGTCTTGTTCTACATCACCCTCAGCTACTTGGGCTTTCTTAGTGCCATCTGCTTCACAGTAGCTTTTTTGGCCAAGACTTTGTCTGGAGCCTTCAATGAAGCCAAGCTTATCACTTTCAGCATGCTGGTCTTCTGCAGTGTCTGGGTGACTTTTGTTCTCACCTATGTGAGCACCAAAGGGAAATACATGGTAGCTGTTCAGCTCTTCTCCATTTTGTCCTCCAATGCTGGTCTACTGGGCTGCATCTTCATCCCCAAGTGCTACATTATCATTCTGAGGCCAGATCTGAATACAAAGGAAAAACTTACCACCAGAAGAAATGTGGAAATATGAGGCAGAGGAATTTTAATTCTCAACATGTTCCAAGAGGCCGAACTTAGAAACTGGTCCCAGCTGTTCTCCATATATGAGTAGGCCAGCTATTTTGCTTGTAATAAGTAATGTTCAGCTGGATTATAGCATTCCCCATCCAAATCAATTAGAATTGTGGTCTGATACAGTCGCGCTCCCTTGGCAGAAGTGTCAGGGGAGGGCTGCGCTGGCTTGTTCTTGGAGACTTTCGGGGGGGGATGCTTCATTGACTAGTTGGTCTTTCGCGCATGCATGCACACCAGAAACCAGACGATGAGGTGACTGGCGCATGAATGGCGCATGGCATATGACACACTTTACCTCTTTACCCCTGCTGTTCCAAAGTCAGAGGACATTTTTTTTTCTGAGGTATTTTCTAAGCAGTGTATTTCTGTATTCTTTCCATTCATCCTCCACATTTCCCACCTCTGGTGGCAGTTCATTATATCCAGGGGTGGGTTCCAAATCCCATCACTACCAGTTTGCTTGTGCATGCATGTGTGCTCATGCTCACGTGCAGTGCTTCTGCACATGTGCAGAAGCATCCAGGTGGGTGGGCGGAGCCTCCCACTGCTGCTGCTACCAGTTCGCCTGATCCAGTGATTATATCTTGCCTCCACCAACTGTTCTACTGCTTCTTCTTGTTTAAGTTTTGCTATACTTAATCAATTCCTTGGTTTTTATTTGTTCTTTTTCTGATGATAATATTAGAGTTGTCATCTCTTGCTATTAGCTGTGCAGTGTTATGATTGGTGTCATGTAGTCCGCTGGGGACAGCTTTTGCATCCATTATTCTGAATCTTTTTTTCTTCTTCTTTTACTCTTGTAAATATGTAATCAGTCTGATTTTCAGTGGTGATGATGTCATGCCATTTATACCATGTACAGTATAATGTTGTGAATCTCAGTGTTCAAAAACCTGTTAGTAATAAAAAGATAGTGCCCAGTATCCCTTGCCCATTCTCGTTCCTTTCACTGTTCTTACCGTCATGTGGAACTATGAACTATTTGTACTCTTTTTTGTTAGTACCCACTCTACCATTGAAATCTCCCATTATATACAGCGTAAGGTTAGCTTCCACTTTCTCGTCTCTTGAGCTAGTTCGTCAGAGAACGCATCCCTTTGTTCTTCTGTGCAATTATCATTGCATGGGGTATATACCGTATTTTTTGGAGTATAAGACACACTTTTCCTCCCCTAAAAGAGGCTGAAAAGTTTGGTGTGTCTTATACTCCGAATGTAGCTTTTTCGAAGTTTTTTTTCAGCCCTAACAAGGCGCTAGCGCAGGGGTCTGCAACCTTAAATACTCAAAGAGCCATTGGGACCCGTTTCCCACAGAAAAGAAAACACCGGGAGCCACAAAACCTGAGTGGGCATGGCCAACTCCACCAGTCACATGACCCCCCTAGCCACTCCTACCCAGCCAGTCATTAGGGCAGAGAACCAGTTGTTATAAAACACCGGGGACCACAAAATCCTTTTGACATATCTCTCTCTCCCCTCCCTCTGTCTCTCTCTCTTCCTCTCTCCCTCTCTCTCTGTATCTCTCTATGTCTGTCTCTATCCTCCTCTCTCTGTATCTGTCTGTCTCTCCCCTGGCTGCTTCTCCATTCCCCGCCATCGCCCTTGCCTTCCTAGGCCAGGCAAGGAGTGACTGGGAGGGTAGGGTGATGGGCGGGGCCAGCCAGTGGTGGGATCCCTGACAGGGAGCCACAGTAGAGGGCCCAAAGAGCTGCATGCGGCTTTGGAGCCGCAGGTTGCTGACCCCTGTGCTAGTGAGTGAAGCGATCTTCCACGCTTTGCCTGCTTTTCTCATTGCTGCTGCCTCTGACAATCAGCTGTGCTTTAGAAGCTGTTTTTCAACCCTAACAAGGCACTAGCGAGTCTTCCATGCTTCGCCTTCTTTTCTCATTGCTTCTCTCTCCGACAATCAACTATGCTTTAGAAGCTGTTTTTCATCCCCAACCAGGGGATAAAAAGTGCGTGCACACGCTCAAAACCAGCGAACTAATGTGCTGAAGCTGACCAGACTAAGGACGCTAGCCAGATGAATACCTGGTAGGCAGAATTCCCCCCTCCCTATTTTCTTCCCCCAAAACTAAGGTGCGTCTTATACTCCGAAAAATACAGAAATTGTACATATATTCCAGTTCGTTCTCCTCTCTTGATTTTTAATGTTATTATTCTGCCCAAATAGTTGTAGAAGTTTCATATGCACTTTGCTGTGTCTGCATATACCAAGAAGCCCACTCCATTATTTGATTGGCCCCTCCCAACAAAAAAGTATTCTTTGTGAATTTTCTTACTATTGTGTTCTTTTTTATCTTATATCGGTTACTCCCATTATCTCAATGCCTTTTCTTTCCAGTCTTTCTACAAGTTCTTCTGCTTTATTTCCCAAACTGACTGTGTTCGAGGTTCCTATTTTGTATTTGTATTATAAAAGCCATTGGTGGCGCAGTGGTTGGAATTCAGTACTGCAAGCTAGCTCACTGCTCACTCCAGGAATTCAATTCTGAATGGTTCACAGTTGACTCAGCCTTCCATCCTTCCGAGATCGGTAAAATGAGGACCCAGATTGTTGGGGGCAATAGGCTGACTCTGTAAACTGCTTAGAGAGGGCTATAAAGCACTATGAAGTGCTATATAAGTCTAAGTGCTATTGTTATTTTCCTGTTCTGACTCTTAGTCCTTCAACATTGCTGCAGTGTTTTTCATTGATCAGTCTGTTTGTATCTCATAATGATTTCTGTCGCAATATATTGTCAATTGTCAGCTTGCTGGGCTTACTTCACCAGAGCCCCTTCACCAGAGCCCCTTTAACCAGAATGTTTCATGGTGATCCAAGATGGCCTTCATGGTTGCTGTAATGGTCATAGTGGCACAACTCCTACTCCTTCACCTACTCCTAGCAATCTCTGATTTTGTCCTGTTACCATCTCTCACAAAGTGGACGCAGGCTTGGACTTTGAGATATGATGGAGATGAATGAATTATCCAAACTTCTACTGGGTGTCTATTCCCAATCTCACCTGCCTTCCTCACACCATTCTCATAGGGTGCTCAATCATCTCAGTCTGCAGAATGGTTTTATAGAAATTGCATGATGCTATATTTTAGCTCCTCTCATGTTTAACTTCAGCATAATAATTTAGTGGGCCAGTTGCATAATCCACCATACCTTTCTCCTAATTTGGATGGGAGGCATCTCTCTACTCTCCTTATGCTGATGATGCTGAGGCCAATATTAAAAGGAACCTGAATTGCAGATTAACTATGATACACGTAATGGATTTTTAGAGAGTTCCCAGTTTATTTATGGTATACCCACAAGATCCTAAATGCAAGACTATCATGTTTCAAACACCTGGGTGTGGCATTTCAGATCTCAGAGAGACTAATGGCACAGGCCAAATCAGATGCCTTGACTGCTCAAAAGTGCTCAGTGGCCATCTTGCAATTCAGTTTGACTAGCATGGGAGAGTCTGTCATTCAACTGCCCTTTACTTCTTTCAAACAAAATGCTGGCCCACTCATGCATGGAGAACAGCTTATATCATTTTCAAAGTTTGGCCTGTTGGAACATTTTGAAAATATGGAAATTCCTCTGTCTCACATTTCCACATTATGTCTGGTTGTAAGCTGCTTCTTTGTATTCAGGTCTGGTCTCAGAATGATGATGTAGCATTTGGGGATGAAGATGCATCCCAGCAGACCAGCACAGGAGACCAAGATGGAGAAGACCTGAACAGCCACCATGTACTTCCCCTTGGTGCTCAGGTAGGCCGGCACAAATGACATCCAGACACTGCAGAAGACCAGCATGCTGAAGGTGATCAGCTTGGCTTCATTGAAGGCCCCAGGGAGATTCCTGGCCAGGAAAGCCACCATGAAACAAATAGCAGCCATGAAGCCCAGGTAGCTGAGGGTGATGTAGAACATGAGAACAGAGCCTTCGTTGCATAGCAGGATAATCAGTCCAGGCTGGGAGTGGAAGTCAGAGTCAGGGAATGGGGGAGAAACTCCCAGCCAAATGGAGCAGATGATAATTTGGACAGAAGAACAAGAAAGAATGATAGCATTGGCCAAGCTCTTTCCCAACCATCTCTTCACTTGATTTCCTGGTTTTGTGGCTAGGAATGCCAGCACCACCGTAATCGTTTTGGCCAAGAGAGAAGAAATGGCAAGTGAGAAGATGTTGCTGAAAACTGTTTGTCGAAGAAGGCAGGTGGCTTTCCTTGGTTGACCAATGAAAAGAAAAGAAGACAAGAAGCAAAGCAGGAGGGAGACCAGGAGGATGTAAGAAAGGTCCCGGTTGTTGGCTTTGACAATGGGAGTTTCTCGGTATTTAATGAATAAAATTAAAACCAGGCCTGTGATTAGGAACAACAGCAGGGCAAAAGAGACCAGGATGATACCCAAATGTTCTTCATAAGACAGGAAGGATTTAACTTTGAGGATACACTGGACTCGGTCCTTATTTGGATATTTATCATCAGGACAAGTGGTGCATTTTTCCATATCTGAGAAAACCAATAAGTAGCATTTATTTAACATTGTGTCCTTTTACCTTTCAACAAACACCTTCTTGGAAGAACAGCTAATAACGGGGCGAAATTCCAAATGTAGTGTATTTCTTAAGAATTCCACAAAAATATAAGAATATCATTTTTTTAAAAAAAAAGTGTAGGTAAACTCTATGAAATTGTGAGAAGTCCTACTTCTTAAATGATTTCCTATGTAATGTGCAAAACTCTCAAAAGAACCTACAATATTAAAGGTAAAGGTTCCCCTCACACATATGTGCTGTCGTTCCCGACTCTAGGGGGCAGTGCTCATCTCCGTTTCAAAGCCAAAGAGCCAGCGCTGTCCGAAGATGTCTCCATGGTCATGTGCCCGTCATGACTAAACACCAAAGGCGCATGGAACACTGTTATCTTCCCACCAAAGGTGGTCCCTATTTTTTCTACTTGCATTTTTTACGTGCTTTCGAACTGCTAGGTTGGCAGAAGCTGGGACAAGTAACAGGAGCTCACCCCATTACGCGGCACTAGGGAATGGAACTGCTGAACTGCCAACCTTTCGATTGACAAGCTCAGCATCTTAGCCACTGAGCCACCGTGTCCCTACAATATTAGAGGTAAATAATCACTTAATCTTTTTAGGCAAAGTTCTAGGGCATGTGTATGGCACTTGTTAATATACTGGACTAACAGGATGCCTATCTTGTTGGCTGGCTGAGGAAAGTAGCCCCCAAAATAATGTGTAATTGCTCCTGGGAGCAGAGGTTGTCTGTTTGTAATGAAGTGCACACCACCTCATTGTGAACCAGCAACACATTCTCAGTAATCCTCAAGTGGAGGCCGATGTAGAATGCACGGCAATAAAATTTTCAGAGGATGGACATAAGACAATTCCTCAAATTTCTGAGAACTCACTTGTTCTTTGAAAGATAAGAGTGAAAGGAGACATCCAAATTAAAAAGCAGAAGATATATTTTCACTGACTGTAGTAAAACTTGCCCAATCTGCCTCAGCCTTCTATCTCTTCCCAGCCCCTCCTTCAAGGTCTCTTTACTATTCTTCCCATTAGGTAAGTAATTATGCACTTTCAAAATAAGGGAAGAAAACAGTTGAGGTTCAATCTGTCTTTTAACTTGCACTTCCATGAAAACACTCTGGGTATATCCATTCCAGTGGTGAAATGAAAAATTTGTTACTACCGGTTCTGTGGGCATGGCTTGGTGGGAGGGGGGGTGTAATGTGACTGGGTGGGCATGGCCAACTTTTTTTTTAACGTTTAAAAGCATTTTTTCTACAACCTCTTCTTTTCTACAACCATTTAAAAAGCATTTAAAATGCTTTTAAAAGGTTCTGATAATCCCAGCTGAGCTGTGCGATCATCAGAGGCTTTTTTTTTTTTTACTTTTAAAAGCATTTTTTCGGCTGAAGAAAAAATGCTTTTAAAAGTAAAAAAAAAGCCTCTGATGATCGCACGGCTCAGGTGGGCATGGGGAGGGCAGGGATTTTTGCTACTGGTTCTCCAAACCACCTGCCGTCATCACTACCAGATCGAGCAATCCGGTCCGAACTGAGAGCATTTCACCCCGATCCATTCCCACAAGGCCTTCCCTTTTCTCTGGTGTCACCCACCTTCCTCAGTGGAGATGGTCCCCTCAGGACAAGGAACACAGTCATAGCAGCAAACTGGCTCTCCCTCTTGAGCCCGCTTGACAAATCCAGGCTGGCATTTTTCCACACATTTGGACTGTGGCAGAGACTATGCAAAACAAGGAGCACCAAAGAAAATGTGTTAGGAGTCACTAACCAGGCAAAATGGAGGTTGACATGAAGTCTCTGGATTTCGCTGAGGTAAACTTTAAATTGCAGGTGATACCACTATATACAGATTCTTCACTTAATACCTGTCTTTTGCTTCTGGAATATCTCATTGCAACAAAGGACTTTTCTACCTAACAAATTCTGGAAGATTGTAACCGAGAGAAGATTTAAACATTCGGTGACAAGAAATGGTTTCTCCTCATCACTGCACGAATATGAATTGCTTCATTCCTCTTATATCCATGGTTTGAAAGAATGATGATGCATTAATTTTAAATTTTAGAATAAAATTTATTTTATAAAATGTATTATAGTTTTATTGTATTAGATTTATTAAAATAGAATCAAAGTATGATGTAGAAAAAAATGTCTGACTGGACTACATAAAATACTGTATTGCAAAGATTCTCCTCTTTGAAAGAAATCTAGCACAGTTTTCCAGTTAAAATACAAAGGGAAAAATAAGTACAATTTAGAGCTGTCAGCTTTAAAGGATATGTCCTTTTGTTTATTTGTATTTTTCCTTCAATTTATATGGTTGCCATCTGGGTCAAATGAAACTAAAACGGATTATCTAATTTCTATAAGTGTAGTGAGATGAGATGGAAGATGGGGCCATGAGAACAAGACTGGCGAAGATGTTTAAAGATAAATCAGCTAAATGTTGGAAATGTCATCAGACATTTGGCTCATATATGTGGTGGACATGTGTAGAAGCTAAAAAATATTGGACAAAATTATGTACGTGGTTGGAAAAGATGATACAACATATTGGTTTGAAACCTGAAATATTTTTGTTGGGGATACTGCCAGAAACTTATAGTAAAGAAAATGTATATTTGATTATTCATGTAATAACTGCAGCTAGAATTGTATTTGCACAAAATTGGAAAAGTGAAGATATTCCTACGGAGGAGAATATGAAAAAGAAAATATTAGAATGTGCAGAAATGAATAGTTTAACACTGGCAACTAAAGAGAAAGAACAAACTGATTATTATGCAATATGGGAAACATTTTATCGATGGTTAGAGGACAAATATAAAAATTAGAAATAAAAGTAGATGAGTAAAATATAGAAAATAGTTAATAGAGTTAAGCAAATTAAGAAGAGGGTGTAAAGTATTAGATATTTAATGTATTGGTATTAAGTTAAGAATAGATTAAATAATGAATCTGATTGTAAATTTTAACTGTTATTGCACAAACATTAGTACCCAGAAGACACACTGTTTAATGGAATATGATTATTTATGCTAAAATAAAATATTTTTTTTAAAAAAAGACTAAGTCAGTTTTGCTGCAGCACATGGGACATGAGTATGATCCCAGTATGATGAGGGATGTTTCCAAGGTCCATCTAGATATGCACGAAAAATTCATTTCTGTTGAAGAATTACAATTAAGTGACACCAACTACAATTGAAATACAGACCCCCCCATTTATTATTAATTAAATCTAGAGCCTCGTCTCTTTCTCCAAGAGGCTTAAGGTAGTTAACAATCAAGATAAAATGCATTCAAGGGATTTTCAGATGAAGACCCCACTTACAAGCCAAATGCCAAATCTAAGAAGCATTTAATTTCAAAGTGTCCCTCATTACTTCAGATATAAGGAAGGGCTTTTATATGGATCAAAGTCGTGTTTCAGTGCTTCAGTTTTCTGAGTCAGGGCCTTAGCTCACATCTGACCATTCATTGTGATTTCATGTGAACTGAAAGTCTTCGATATCTTTCCTAGGAGCAGAAAGTCAATTGCTCTATCATAGTTCGTGGGAGGGAGACATGGTTAATTCTGGTCAGATCTGGTCTGCTTAATGCTACCCACAACCCGGACAAGCACTCTAAGAAAATTCTAAATCTTCTACTCCCAATATTCAATATTAAATTTTACTTGAAGGTCACTCTCCGTGGTCACTAGGCATAGTCATTTTGAAATGGGCCCCACGGATTTCAAAAATAGACAAAAGACACCAATATTTCACAAACCTTGTTGAGCAATTTAAGCCGTGACAGCATATCTTGGTTGATGAGAAGCTTCTGTCTTTCAAAACTCCCCAGTTGCTCTTTGATAGGGTTCTCCTTGGGGAAAACCAACCAGCTTATGATGTTCATATCAGCTGATACCTCTCCATTTTTATCCAAGTACATTTTCTCCTGTGAAAGGTTGCAAAACTCATTCTTCTCCAGAAAGGGATGGAACTGGAATAGAAACCAGGGGTGGCTTCTACTTACCTTTACTACTGGTTTGCAATGGGGTTGTGTGCACGGAACGCTGTTGCCTTCCCACCAAAGGTGGTCCCTATTTTTCTACTTGCACTTTTTATGTGCTTTCAAACTGCTAGGTTGGCAGAAGCTGGGACAAGTAATGGGAGCTCATCCTGTTACGCGGCACTAGGAATTCAAACCACTGAACTGCCGACCTTCCGATCGACAAGCTCAGCATCTTAGCCACTGAGCCACCAGGTCCAAATAATACAATCTCTTAATTGAATAAGGGAGGATATAGCACTCTTTTGCTTACACCGGAACTTAAGATCTGTTTACTGCTATTCCAGAGTGTCAGATATGGTTACAAGATCTCAGTCACAAGAGAGGAGATTCTGACTGAATGAGAGGGGAAAGTTGTCCCACTGATTAATTGTTCTCACTGTCAGAAAATTTCTCCTTAGTTCTAAGTTTTTTCTCTCCTTGATTAGTTTTCACCCTTTGCTTCTTGTCCTGCCCACAGGTGCTTTGGAGGTGCAATTGTTTATTATCAGATTTTATCTGTCATATTTCCTGCTCTTTGGAACATTATCACCTGAGTGAATAAATAAGCCAACCCATTTACATTTTTTTAAGCACAAGAAGGTTAAGATAGTTCTCCTTCTTTTCCTTTGGATTTCTTCTCCAAAGAAACTTTGATGGACCCTTGGGGGGGATCCCATACCTGCCAGGGCTGCAGCCTTAGAGGCCCAAAACTCTCTCTGCCCTCTTTTGTTCTCCTTCTGGATCTGGAGGAATATGCAGCATTGAAGGCATGGGCCAGAGTCTTAAAAGCACTAAAAAGATGGTGGTGAGTTTTGATCCGGATACTGTTTTTTTTCTCTTGGGTGTCCAACAGCACTTTCTGGGTGCATCTTCTCTGGCCCTTGACAGAAAAACTGTGCTTTGAAAAAGAACAGTGAAAAGACTGGTCTTGAAAATGAGGTTCCACAAAGATAATGAATTGATTATCTTTTGACCTTTCTTTTTCCTGAAAAGCAAAGAGCCAAATACTATGGACATATTTGAGAAGTCTGTCCCAACCAACTACGAAGTGCCCCAAGGCTGTCTTGATCCAGATTTTCCCTTCAATGGGTCCTGGCAAATACATAAATGTTAAATGGAAAGGAAGAAATCGGTCTCTAAGGGAAACATATTCCATGAAGTGAATGTACACATTGACTTGTCTCCACTTAGACAGGGCATTCTTGAGAGGTTCTATCTGTCCAGTTATGGGAAATCGTTGTGATATAACAACACAAATCCCATTCCTGACAAGCACCGGAATAAAAGTTCTCATGAAATTATCTCCCTTCTCTGTGTCTGAAGCAAAAAGACCAATCAAGGTCCATCTGAAATGGAGGAGCAGTTGGACAATTCCTGGGTACTCGACACCTTCCTTGGGGAGCATCGAGTGGAAAAAGGGGAATTTAGTTTTATCACTCAGACTTCCTGAAATAATTCCATAACTGGTCTGAAAAAGCAAGGAAGAATTCTGTATTATATTTGGGGCAAGATCAAATACAAAATACAAGATTTTAACAAATTTAAATTGGTTCTCATGAGGACACAAAATACCTTATTGTTGATTATTCATTAAACAGGTTAAAAAGTATAGAAAATTTATAGGTGTGTACATAAAATAGAATAAAAAATTTAAAAAGAAATTTTTAAATGGTGCCTCTTCGACCAGAAACATATTTATTAGGAATATTGACAAAAGGTTATAAAAAAGAAATACAATATCTGATAATACACATTTTGACAGCAGCCAGAATTACTTTCGCACAAATGTGGAAATTTGAAGATACACCATCAGAGGAGAGAACAATACAAAAAGCAATGGAATGTGCGGAGATGGACATACTTACCAAAAAAATTCAGGAAAAAGAAGACTCAGATTACTATTTGATTTGGCAAAAATGGTACGATTGGTTAGAGAAAAAGAAGATGAAATAAGGGAATACCACTCAAGGACACAAAAATGAGGAAACAAAATTAATATTGTTACATAAATATTGTTATATAATGAAAGATATATAGATATATAGATATATAAATTACCGAAGTAGCTCTTTTTACAAAGCTCAAGTCGTACGACTTGATATTAGTGTACAGTTTGTCTACGTATAGTTTGTTTACATGTGTGTATGTTTGTATATGTTTGTTTGTTTATTATTAATAATTTTTTTTTTAAAAAATAAAAAGAATAACAATAAATAATGTAACTTATATTTCTGTATCACCCCTACATCTTACCACAATCAGACCCAAAATGAATTGTTTTATTCAAATAAATGCCATATTATATGCATTTTTGTGAATTCTGACCACATGGGAAACACGTTGTTTTAATGTAAGGATCCAAAATGTCACATCTGTAATGCACTCCAAGATTTTTTTTTTTTTTATATATATATATATATATATAATATATATATATATATATATATATATATATATATATATATATATATATATATATATATATATACACACATATCTTATATAATTGACTTTGAAATAATACATCTTATGTTTTCTATCTCTGGAGCTCCATAAATTAAATTAAATTAAATTGAATTGAATAGAACACTTTATTTGTCCAATAAATAAAGTACACTTGGTGTACTTGCAAGGCAGTAGAGAAAATAATAATGATAATAATAATAATAATAATAATAATAATAATAATAATAATAATTATTATTATTATTATTATTATTATTTCACAAACTGACTACCTACAACGCCATGACCATGTTGCTAAAATCATTCACTGGAAATTGTGCCAGAAGTTTAGATTTGAGTACAGCAAAAACCATTGGGAACATCAGGTTGAGAAAGTTTTAGAGAATGAGAAACTCAAGATCTTGTGGGACTTTAGGATTCAGACTGACAGGCACTTGGTCCACAACACACCTGACATAACAATAGTTGAAAAGAAAAAAGTATGGTTCATTGACATTGCAATACCTGGTGATGCACGAATTGAAGATAAGCAGCAAGAAAAAATCACAAAGTACCGGGACTTACAAATTGAAGTTGAGCAACTGTGGAAAAAGAAATCGTGTGTTGTCCCGATTGCAATTGGAGCCCTCGGAGCAATACCCAAAGGGCTACCCCGCTATTTAGAAATCCTAAATTTGCCGGACTTGAACATTTTGACTCTACAAAAAACCACCTTACTCGGAACAGCTTACATCCTCCGACGATACCTTAACAGTTCCTAGGTCCTTGGTTAGGACTCGAGCTGCTGAGCTATTAACCAGCCTCAAAGGCTGTGAATCTCACTAAAGATTAACCAATAAATAATAATAATAATAATAATAATAATAATAATAATAATAATAATAATAATAAAAAAAATAAAAATAAAAAATAAAAATAGAATGACCATGGCAAAAGAAAGCAAAGGTACTTCCGATAGTAATAGGCACCTTGGATGCAATTCCAAAACAATTGGAGCACCACTAGAATAACATGTGCACTGACAAATTCATTTATCAGTCAATTGCAAAAGGTGGCTTTACTTGGAACAGCTTACATCCTATGTAATTCCATAGAACATCCAGATGTGACTATCCCCGGTCTTTGGAAAGGCCTCAATAGGGAGACAAAAATGTCAAATTCAATCTGTACATATGGCTGATTGTGACGAACCAATAATATTAATTCCCAGCGTCACAGTACTGTGATGTGGTTGTGGGGTTTGTGTGTTCTGAGGAAGATGATAGCTATGCCAGAGGTGCAATATACTAGATAGGTCTCCTCAGAGGAGTCAGATAAAGTGTGTCTTTCCCATAAAACATATGGTGAGACATAAATTACAGAAAACTACACCAGTTCTGTCATCACCTTGGTTAACAAGGACTGCACTATATATTGGAATTCCTGCACATCTAGTGAAAAATGGGCTATGGGACTTAGAATTGTTGGCTGAGCAACCAAGGCCAGCAGCTGCAGAACTACTGGAAGGAAAGGTCTATCACAAATATGCAGTGATTGAAAAAAAAATCCTCTTCTGTTGATGATCTGTTATTACAGATCAAGTCCAACAGGAAGAGGATATTTTAAACGAATGCAACAGTTCTGGAAAAGAACAACATTCGGAATCAGAAATAACAGTACAGAGGTTGGCAGATCAACATCAACTTCCGTATTCACGGAAGCAAAATTGAAAGAACTGCAAAAATCTACTTCCTAGATCCCTTCCAACTTGGCTATTCTATGATATAGGGCTTTTTAAAATTTAACCAGCAAATTCACAGCCTAAGAGAAAATTAATCCTAAGTAAGGAAAATGTTAATTCACTCTATTGGCTCTTCATTGAATAGTCACGTATGACTATGATGTTGATTTCCAAAATCTGTAACATTTGACTTTTATGTAATAATAATCACAGAATTATTATGACATTAGGAACCACCTATTTTCAACAGACTATGCAATAAAATTTGAAACTATGATAATAATACATTAGCAAAAATATGGTGTTACAATACTAGATATTTAGCTCCTTAGAAGTGTCTACTTCAGAATCGTTCACAACTCATGGTAAGTTATTACTGTCTAGACTGAATAACAATGGTTCAAGAATGACCCTTGTATTATTCCTTGGACAGTATTGATCCTACTTCTCATGGCTCCATTGAGCCAAACCAGCCTCTCAAAGAAATGCTTGTTGAAAGGGCTTTGATCTGTCTCAGCAGTCTGGATTTCATTTTAAGGGCAATCAATTTCTTCTATTTCTGTCTGTGTCAAATGCAGTACTAATACACCAGATCTATTTAAGGCAACAAACTATTCCTTCCCTTAGTGGTATATATTGTAATTAAATGATTCAAGACAAAGTCAATAGTGAATTAACTCTGTCTAATGCCTGCCTGTTCTGCAAAAAACAC